GCCGCACCCTACCCCAACTTACACAACACGAAACTATTTGTACTGCTGCGTACGTATACTGGTATTCGTAGAGGAAGACCGAAACGAAAGCGGGAGAGAGCTGATACCGTATACACAGTACCTCAGGTGGAAACGACATCGTTTGTTGTCGTCACGCCATATAGCCGAACTCGCACCAAACACAAGACCACTCGCTGCACGGAAAGTCACGTACCAGCCTGCGTTGCCGTTACCGGTGTGCTTCCAACCAGCAACAACGGTACCTCCACGTGTGTTTGAAGTGATATCATACTATGATGATGTATAGTACCGGTCGGGGAGATGGTACCGGGGTGGGTACATAACAACAACTGACGTTGTGTGTATTCCGCCATCGGGGATCGCACAAGTCGGAGAGGTCGCACCGGGGTGCCTTGATGAAAAAACAAAAACCTAAACGATATATGCAATTGCACTTCCGCACCGGGGTCGCAGAGATGGCACCGGTCGGAGAGATGACACCGGCCGGAGAGATGACACCGATCGGAGAGATGGTACAGGGGTGCGATAAGAAACCCGAGGGAAAAACATTTAATACAACGATCGCACCCGGTGCCATCTCTCCGACCTAACACCGTAGATATTCATCATTATTTTTTTTTATGTACGTAATTCATATTCTGGAAGCAAGACTTCGGACTGGCTTTGTGGAGACCCGTACCAGCAGACCAGGACCGAGGATGCCCCTGAAATGGAGGGCTTGTCCGAGGTCTGATGGAGCTACACTATTTACTTCATGCATACCATTGTCCGACCACTTGTTGCGTTCAAGGTCGAGCCTCTTTCCGTTTCATTCAGTCCGATTCCTCCTTTTTATGCTTGCTTCTCTCTCAGTCGCCCGCTATCGCTCACTCCCAGGCAACACTGAACAAGAGACGTTTGTACATACCTCAACCTGCCTAAGATATCGCAATACCGGAAATCTCGGCAAGTGGTCAGGATACTCCCACAAAAAGATATACCCGCCCACATGGTACTCTGTATGTTTGGCCGCAAGGGTCCAAATACCACGACATATATTCACAGCAGCAGCAGCAGCAGTCTGTACGATATGCTGTACGGAGTTCGAATTGCACTTCCTCCAGCGGATGTTCTTCTTCTGTGGAATCAATCCTTTGCATTGCTGTTGTTTGTCTGGTGCGTGTTTACCCACATCATTCGCAACGGACGCTTTGACGCTTTTCTGGCGTTTTTCGTGTCAACCATGTTGTTGTCATGGGTATCCGAGCAGAGCCATCAACCCGTCGGAATCGCACTCGTCCGTGTCGCTCATCACGCAAAAAAAAAACATCGCCGACAACAGATACTGTAGAGATGTTTTTGCGAGTCACCAGCGGCACCGACAGACAGAACCAACAACTGTTATGGACGATGTACAGGCGCCATGGCATTAGGCATATGGCATGCTCTACAAAATCAACCGCGTCGTCCGTGTTCCGCCGCATCTATCGCCGATACTGTCACTGGCCTCGACGGAGGTTAATACGAAAGAAAAATCCGCGTTCCGATCAGAATAATTAATTTTTGTGGCGATTTCTCAGGGAAAATCTGGAATCCAGGGAAATCTGGAATCCAACGAACACTGACTTCTGTACGGTAAAACTACGAAATATTACCGATTAACTTGGTTCAACAGCTGTTTTTAGCGGTCCTCAACTGCTGTACGTTGGTTGCTCAGCTTGCCAGGCCTCCCGCCACCTCCTCTCACTCACCTCACACCACAACATCACACACCACTCACTCACCTTCCTCTACCACTCCATCAGCATCGACGCCCTCGCTTCAGCAACAGGTCAGTCTCGCGCACGCTCACAAGTAGGCTATGTGGCAGCAGCGGTAGCACTACAAAATGTACATCTTCAGCAGTGCTCGTGATATCCTTTTGAGTTGCACGGTCTCACGCCTGTTCCTCGATGCTGATTTTGAGGTCTTCGAGGTCGGTTGGTTTGGACCACCAAAATAGGCAAAAGGATACTACTGGAAGATCGTGTACAATCCGCGACCGCGGCAGATGTTTCTGCTTATTCGCGTCTCAGTATGCACTGCTGCAGCCCCAGCGATGTGCCGGTCGTGTGTGCGTGTACGCCGCGTGTGTGCGCGCGGCAGAGCAGTCAGCCACGAAAGATAGATTTTTGTATTTTATTCTTCACTTGTGCGGTGGGTCATTGACGGGTTCATTCGTGCATACAGCAGCAGTATCAACCATCATGTCGGCCCTTTGTATGCAGGCCACCACCACACGCGCTGATAGAGATACATGCGATCTCGGTTGCTGTAGTCTCTGCATTCCCCATGCGTTCCGTCGTCTCTCCCTGGGGACGCCGGTTTGCACGTAGTAACGCTGCTGCTGCTGCTGCTGTTGTCGATTGTCAAAACTGTTCCTGTTCCTAATAGCAAAGTTCGTCCTCTCTCTCGTCTCCACAAACTCTCGCCGAACACCGATGCAAGCAGATCCATCCCGCCGCCACAGCACACACACAACTCCATTGTATCTTCCATCCTACTGCATCATGCCTCCACGATCAGTTGCTCGTCGTCGAGCGTGTTATTCCAGCAGCACCACCGTTGGTGTTGCCTAGGATACAGAGTACTTCTGAAGCAACAGAGCTGTCGAGTTTTTCCAGATTCTTTTTGGTTCCGACACGTTCCGATTTTTTTTTTCAGCATCCATTCGCCCACTTGCCAATGATGCCTCCTGTCATTTTACGTATCTCTTTCTCCCAGCTTGATCATGGCGCGGTTGCTCCTTCCAAGCTTTGATGATGATTGCACTAGCCGTGAAGAGGTGGCAGCGTGTGCCTACAACGCGTGCATGCACATGTTCTGCTGTACACCCACAAACGCAAAGTGTCGTTGGGCAAGCAAGTTGTGTCCACTTTTCTGACGACGGGCACCACAGACTTTCCTTTCCTCTCGCAAGTGCCCGGGGGTAGCCGCGTGCAGCACGAAAACAACCATGTGCAGCATTATTCCAACTTACTGTCGTAGTCAACGCACTCTCGTTTATGGAACACGCGGCATGCCGAGACAGACGTACGAAGTGAACATGACGCAAACCCGCTGTTCCTCCTGCCCTCTCGCCGACCTCCTTCTTGCGCCTTCAGGAACAGCATCTTCTACTACATCAAGCAATGGCTGGAATGAGGTTCAACTCCACCCCTGCGGTCATAGTCGCCGCTTGCGTTCTGGCATCCTACCAGACCGGCGTCCAATCTCGCCACCTTCGCTCGCTTGCTATCGATTCCACCCGGTGAGTGGGTTCGGTAGTTCGATTACGGTACTGAACCCATTTTTGTCTAAAATAGCCACTCCCAGGGATGAGTTGTCTAGCACGCTCGGTCTCGTGTGTCGTGAGTTGGCTCATATGCATACATGCACTCTTCCGTTCCGCTTGTGGGCTCATACAGCAGTACACTGGCACCTTCTTTGCTTCTGCATTTTGCAATTCATAACTAGCCGATCGATCCCTCGACAGAACATGTCGAGTTGTTGTCTTTTCTTCCTCTCTTTTCGAGCGTCATTGAGTAGCAATTAATTTGCGTAGAGATTTAAGTCCAAGAGACGTTAATTTGTTGCCTTCTCTTTGTTCTGTGCAAGAACGGGTAAAAATGATTGATGTCGCCGTTTCGAATAATGCCGTTGGTTGTACTTGACGTAGTATACTGACTATTTCTCCGGAGTAGATCAAAAGTTTGTCTGATCCACCCCCCCTCCCCCCTCTCCACGTGCGTGTACCAACCAACCAGGGATTACACCCACCTGGGCTGCTTCGTGGACAAGAAGAGCGACCGGGTGTTAGGGAACAAGCTTGCCGATGAGGAAGTCGACACCGAGGTAAGACATTCATCAAGTACCGCTGGTGTGCTCTTGTCACGTTCGCCGTTTCTTTTTTCCCATTCCTTACCGCATCGGCCATCTATCTACTTGGGCGCCAGCCGGAATGGTGCACAAGTTGTTTCAGCCGAAGGGTTGAACCAATATCGAACAGTACGTACGTCTGTAAACCATGTGGAACCGTAATCGTTTCCCCCTCGATTTTGTTCTCTCTGTTTCGCGATTTCTTCTTCAGTTCTGCTACGACTACTGCGAGGAACAGAACGCGCCCTTGATGGCTACCCAGTGGGGGATCGAGTGCTGGTGCGCCAACGAGGTTGACTTGGATTACGAGCGCCACGGAGAGGCCGGAGAGTTGTGCGACTACAAATGCGGGGGAGACAATGTACGAAGGGCTTTCAGTACTCCAGTTTTGCGCGCTTGGGTGTCTTCTTGGAGACACGCCTAGTTTTTTCCCAGCCGAGTTAACCAATCTGTTGGTACTTCCTCGTTGTACATCCATACCTTTCTTGTTGTACCTGACCCCCTATTTGGTACCAATGCGTTTTTCGGAATTTCGGTGATAATCTAACCCGCCTCGATGCCCTCTTGTCTTTCTCCCTCTGCCTGTTTTGTGTTGCGCTACTGAACGCAGAAAGAAATTTGCGGCGGCTACAATGCCTTCGACTTGTACGTGATCGAGTCGTTGACCACCATGTGAGACCTGAACACGGCTTGTGCCATAACACTCGACCTTTCCCGTGTTCAACGAGTACCTCAATCATGCTTGATGTTTCTATCCATTTGCGCCAAGTCCGACCCCAGCGGGTGGGGTTATTCTTTCTCCTGCCTAGCAGTAAGCGCCTACCTCAACAATTGGTTTTCGACCCGACGATGATGTCTTACGTACATGCCCGCCTTTTCGATGTTTTTCACGCGTTGGCTTGTCCTCTCCTAATATCGTCCTTTTCCGTCGTGTCGTTCTTGGCTGTCTGTCCCGTACCGTGTTGTTCCGTACCGTGGTATCTGCCAGCGATATCGACGACGGTCCGTCGCCCACCCCGGTCGTTGACGAACCCGAACCCACACCCCCGCCCGTGCAGGAGGAGGAAAGGTACGACCCACATGTTACTGAATACGCTAGAAATACATGGCGTCAGACAACAAGTTGTTTGTCACAAAGCGCACCCACGTCCGCTTGCGGATGTTTCCGCTCTAAGACGGGCGATCGAAGGATGCGTACTGACACCTCGATACGCTCGCGGGTGCATTGGTGTGTTAACCGTGTAGACCATTTTTGTCGTGGTTGTTTGGCAAGGCTGGTCTGGAGACGTTTGCGTGCCCGTGACAGTCAGCCTGAATACAGAATGTACGCAAAGACATAATGCTTCGTCTTCCGCGACCGGTCTGATCCATCCCCGTAGTGACGGCCGGCCGGACGGCGCTATGAACGACGACATCGTGAAGATCATCGAAGTCCCTGGCGCCACCCCCGGCGGCGCCGGCTGGGCCGACAGCTACTCGGTCGGAAGCAAGTGCTACATGTCGACCACGTTCGACCACGGCATCGGAGAGGAAGTCGTGGACACCCCGATCGGCGAGATGAAGATCAGGGACCTTTACGATATGCTGCAGGCGGGGCCCGGATCTGCCGGCCGCCCTCTCTACAACGACATCCAGTGCGGAAATGGCCCCGCGAACGACGCTGCTGACGAGACCGAGTGCCCCGGGCTGGTGACGGAAGGCGAAGCGGGCTGCGGCCAGATCGGTCCCAAGTGGGACCTTTCGGAGCTCGTCGAGACGTGAACCACCCACCCGCATGTTGGTAGCGTTAGCGTTTCGGCTAACCCATATGTATTTCGGCACATGGGCGCGACTACTCGCATAGAGCCTGACGTTGATGTGTCCCTGGCGCCAGGTGTGTCAGGTAGATGCTTTCCTCAGCGTTATTAATGGATTTTGTGCTGTCGTGACAGGTGAATGTGGAGTGTTAAAAGAAAAGTTCGTCTGGTGTTATTTGGACGGGTACCGGGTGTGGCATCCATGTATTTGCCTGGGTTGTGGGATAGATTTTTATTGCCTGTTTTCTGATGATTTGGACTTGCACATCATCCTTCCACAGAGACGTTGTAAGGCGAGTACCTTCACATGTCGGTGCGTTTGCGCTTTTTCACACGCATATGTGACCCGGTGTGGCTCGTGGCAATCGGCGATCTATTCAGATTTGATTTTTATGAAATAGCTTCAGGGAACCAGGGGAATGGCTTGGGAGATGTGTGTGTGTGTGTGTGTGTGTGTGTCCTTCGCTTTATTTACTTGACGCCCTTATTTTTGTACATGGGACAATCGCCCGAACGGCCTACCGTCACGCGCGTAGCAACCGTCGTTTGCGCACACGGCACTTGTCTTCTCGGTTTATTTGACGTCAAACTCGAGGTCAGACTGACGCGTTGCGCGCATTAAATTACGCATGTTGCCCAACTCTCAAGGCTATGGGTTCGATAAATTACGCATGTTGCCCAACTCTCAGGCTATGGGTTCGATGTAGGTGCGGTCGCGCCGTCATGACGCCGTCCTCGAAAGGGACGACGGCGGCGCGGGGGGGGTTCCGGTTGGTTGGGTGACAAAAACAGTGAGTTGGTTAGCGTGAAGGGAAGGTGTTAGGACGGGATGAGGTGGTACATGACACACGTAGGGCGGTCGAAGTGCTTGGAAACATAGAGGCGCACGTGCCGCGAGCCAGCCGTTCTTCGTTTTTTTTTGTGGTATCTTTTGGTTTGTTTTTTCACTTTTTCGAGCCGTGCACCTCGGCTCGTTTCTTTCTCTGTGGGGGGGTTGTATTTCCGAGAACGTTTTGAGCTCTCAGCTGGTCTCATCCTCCAGTGTTTTATTCGAATGTCTTCTTCGTTACTTTTTGTTAAGATCATTCTTATATGTCGAATTTTCAGCACCTCATACTGAAGGAGCTTGTATGTCGAATTTTCAGCACCTCATACGGGAGGAGCTTTGTATCAACGCATTTTCATTTTTTCGTTTCATTGCGAACAACAATATGGGCAAAAAAAGTCATCCGAGTGTCTCAAGTGTGCGGTCGTATTCTAGAGCATTCATGAAAAGACGGGGGAAACCGCCGACTGCGTCCTAGTACGCCAGCAGCTCTGACTCCGCAGAATTGGGGTCACGCTAATTAATTATGATCCGTCATTGCTTGACACGAAAGACACATGTGAAAATTTCGGTCTGCCGTCCACCTTAACAGAGAGCGTCTTTTCACGGCACTAGGTTGTTGGTTCGATCCTCTCCAAGGAAGAATTTTGTCCCAGAATTGTGTTTCTAGCGAACATCAATGGATAGGTCTCGTGAGAAAACAATCTTCGGCGTCACGGTCGACAAGGGAACGATTGAATGAGCCCTTTTCGCGATACGCGCTGTAAGGCACAAGCACCGCCGGCGGAAAGGTGGGGCAAAATCACAAAAAAAAAAAAGGAACTCTGTCTTCTTGTGGGACCCCGCGCCAGAGTGTAGATAAGATGATCACACGCACGCCGCACTGAGACTGACGTCTTTTCATTCGCCGGCCGTTAAGCGCAATCGATACAAAAATACAAACACTATGATGAAGGGAGCAAAAACAGAGCTCCCGAGCCGGATGACCTTCCCTGTGCCGAAAAATAGCTGTGAAAATAAAGGATGTAGACAGGATGTATGTGTGCCGTAGTGCACCTGACACGAACAACTCCAGTCAGTGCACAAGGTAGCATATCCTTGTAGGCACGTGCAGTCTCTCCTACTACTCTTATCCGGATAGTAGCTTAGCGTCCCCCATGCCGCACCGCCACGAGGTCCCAGTTAGTTCATGGATGTTTGTGTTTTCAACCGCATTGAGACTGAAGACGTATTTTCATTGATGAGATTGGTTGGTCAGTCGGTTGGCGCGATCGATGCCAGACACACACACACAGTAAACACTAAGCGGGCCCAACCATACATCATCAGATAGATGTCTGTGCTAGCTAGGCCTTGTTGTGCCGCGGCGGTGTATGGGGTGAAGGCGCGCGAATCACCTGCGTGCATTGCTGCTGCTGCTGCTGTGTATTCGTGCAGCAGGACCTGGTACAGTAGTCTCTCTCTATATATATAGGACGTGGTATTTAGGTGCGATCGTGGGATAGACAAAAAATGAGTCATCAAATTCAATTTTTTCATCCATTTGCTGCGTGGAATGAACTCACGCTTTGATTGCCGCGCCCCCGCTTCGCTCCCATACTGTGGATGGGTGTGTGGGCTGATAATAATCGACATCATGCGAGATGCCTGGACTATCGCAGCAACACCTCGCACGCACGTATATACGTGGGGATCCCTAATGGGCTATCGGTGTGTCTAAATCCCCCCCCGGCGGGGTAATCTCCCACAACGCACCCCTCGAGCCAGGACACGCACAGCTGTGTTGCTGTGAGGTAGGGCTATCACGAGATACCTCGTACAGCGGAAACGGTGCAGGTTTGGTGCAGCCATGGCTGATGGGCAGAATATATCTGTTGTCCCAACCTGCCCCCCGGGGGGGGATTAGTGTCTAAATCCCCCTCCGTCTGTATCTCCGCCCACGAGGCACCAATCGAGCCAGGACACGCAAGGCTGTGTTGCCGTGATGTAGGGCTATAGCGAGATACCTCGTACAGTGGAAGGGGTGCAGGTTTAGTGCAGCCATATGGCTGATGGTCAAAGTATATCTGTTGCCTCAACCTGCCCCCCGGGGGGGGATTAGTGTCTAAATCCCCCCCCGTCTGTATCTCCGCCCACGAGGCACCAATCGAGCCCGGACACGCAAGGCTGTGTTGCCGTGATGTAGGGCTATCGCGAGATACCTCGTACAGTGGAAGGGGTGCAGGTTTAGTGCAGCCATATGGCTGATGGTCAAAGTATGTCTGTTGCCTCAACCTGCCCCCCGGGGGGGGATTAGTGTCTAAATCCCCCCCCGTCTGTTTCTCCGCCCCCAGGGCACCAATCGACTGACGAACACCGGTAGAAGTGTGTGAAAACATGCACGTACAGCGCACAGCAGCGGGCAGCAGGTGAGGCGACCATCACATCAAGTATTCCTGCCCACAGTTTTACACACACCCAGTGGGATGCGAACACCGCCGTCTCACTGGTGGGGTACATTATAGCCTTGTTTACCCCCCCCAGCGGTATGTCGTCACACAAGACTTCAGTCGACACAGGACATGTCAACTGTGTTTCTTCGATGTAGGGCTACCGTCCACCGTATGACCCATCGTTAGCCCAAACGACGTAGCCCGAAGGGTTCCGTTCAGGTGGTAACACCGCCGGTGGGGTAAACTACGGATGTGCTCCTGCAGGGGGAGGGGGGGGGGTATGTCTAATACCCCACTATGAACCTCGCACCTCTGTACAAGGCTCTGATGGCCGCACAAGACCCGAGGTAGAACTGTAAAAGATGATGAACGCACAACACACAGCACGCAGCAGCACTGCACCCCTGCTGTGATCGCTATGTCTATACATTGTACCGTGCCCAAATGTAACGTTCCTCACATCAGGGATTGATGACTCATTCGTTTGGTGTCGCTCTCCAAAAAAAAACGAAGAAAAAACAACGACAACGCAAATACTCGCAAACGATCGAAAAAAATCCCAAACATGTTGAGACATAGGTGATGAACGTATGTTCGCCGCCACCAACGTGTTGCCTCCCGGTCGTCAATGCGACGTGAAAGTCAGACTAAGGTACACACGCAAGGGCAGCTGGTTAGGTGCTGGTATCAGCACCTTTCAGCTTTCTCCTCTTGTTCGTCCGTGGCACGTCGCTGAAGTCCTTCATTCTCCTAGTCTGACGGGATTTTCCTCTCTGGCCCGCAGGGTTGCCAGCTCCCTCTTTGCCGTCCTTCTTAGGTCTCCCTTTCTTGGGTGCTTGCCCAGGATTTTGGGGTCCTCCTGTGCCTCCCGCGGCCTCCTTCAGAAGATACCCGAGGAAATCGTCAATCTTGACCTGGACAGACCGTGCTTGGTGAAGGGGTACGGACCTCATAATGTCTCCTACGTTCTCCTTGTTCTTCGCCATGAGATGGGCGTAGACGCGACGTTTGTCGGCAGCGCTTCTATCCTGCGCGGCCCGCACCGCGCGTTCAGCGGGGTGTGCGCCATCGATTGATTCATCGCATGTCGGTCCCCAGCAGTGGTCATCGCTTCCTTGGTGATGCCCGTCCCATCCTTCGCCGTGGCCTGACGACGACAGCACGGCTGAGACGCTCCATGGCAAAACCTTTCCGTCGTCTGATTGACGCCAACGGTTGTGGACACACGCACCGTCGAAGGCATGCGTAAAGCTCAACTCGTCCTCCCCGCCAGTTCTCCCGATGAGGTTGACAAGAACCGCGAAGTAGTGCCTGCAAGGCAGTCCGCGCCGCAAAAGCTGTAAACAGGAACACAAATGGAAGTTGTGAGGCCCGAATGCGACGAGGTGGCTAGGATTGTTCGCCGAATACTTGTATCGAACGGCCGCGACCAGTTCGATAGGGAAGCCGGCGATCAATTCCAAGAAAGCTGGCAGCGATGTACGAGCCCACATGGTGTTGTCCTCTGCAGGTTCCGTCAGCTAACGAGTCTCTCTCCAGATCGGTATCAGGTGGTGCGACCTGGAGAATGTTGAGCTTGAGGCGCAAATTGCGTATCTGGTCAAAGTCGTCGTCGTGTAGAGGAAGCGGTCGTCCGTCTTCGTCCACATTTCCGGCGGAGATACAGACGGGGGGGGATTTAGACACTAATCCTCCCCCGGGGGGCAG